AGAGCAGGCGAAGAATGTCTATTCTTCGTCTGCTCTATGGTTATCTCGATCGTTGCCGCTGCTCGGTTTTAATACGAGTGATCTCGTTAGATCACTCGTATTAAACGAGCAGTGGCTCCTACTACTCGCCCGGCGCCCGAAACTGCATGTCTCGGGCGTCGGGATTCGCTCCATAAGACGCAGGCACTTTTTCCCCCTCCTTTTGGGGGGAAAAAAGTGCGTCTTATGGAGCGAAAAAATACGGTAATTAGTTCAGACGTATGAAGTGTTTTTCTAAAATAATTCATCAGTATTCGGGTCTAAGTGCGGGGTTGGCACTTTGAGACACATAAGTTGGTTTAGTGATCCAGTTTGGGCACTCGGGCTGAAAAAGGTTTGCCACCGTTGCCCTAGACAATAGGAGCCCCACTGCAAGGGCTAAGATTTGATTTGCCTTGAGTTCTGCTTTAATGATATCATCCAGCAATTCTCTGCTCCTCTCCATTTCTACAAATGCTGAAACGGCAAAATACACGCCAAGTGCAGAAATGATAACAATATAACTGACAACAGGAAAACACACAACTGCTTATTATCTTATTTTATTATTTGTCTTGCTTTATGACTGCTGACTTTGTGTCTACTTTCTGATTCTGGATGATAAAATATTTCCCTTAAAGGAAGACAACGGTGTTTTTGTAGTGAACACATACTCTGCTACAATTCCAGTATGCATTCCTGTTACAATGCTGATGTTATAAGAGGATATGCTGGGGCTTTAAAACTCCTTTAATTGGCTTATGCAACTGCCTCATCTTCTCAGTCTAAATAATCTTGTGTAGGGAACTACAGGAGCCCAGCAAAAAGACAGGTTTTTCTAGGTCAGTAGCTTAAGCTGGTCATACACAATGCAATCAGATTGTATAATTGTTGTACAATCTTCTTTAAAGAAGAACTCCAGGGAAACATTTTCCTAACCCATGCAGTGGGGCTAGCCATGGACTGCAGGGGTTAAGTACTCCTTTTCATCTAGGTTCAAAAATAGAAATGTTATACTCACCTGAACCACGTATCTGGCTGGCTGTTATTCCATTCCAGCAATGGTATGCCCTTGGCATCTTCACGTCTAATACACAATGTACACATTGGACGTGATGACTCACGGTTCCTTAGACCGCTGGAACGGAGGGGGAGAGAGGCTGGAAGGACTGCTCCCCCTCCGCTTCAGCAGTCTAAAGGACACCTTCTATACACAGTGTATTGGACGTGAGGATGCCAAGTGACATACCATTGCTGGAATGGAGAGGGAGAGAGGCTGGAGGGATGGCTTTAATAACCAGCCGGCTATGAGATTCGGGTGAGTATAACATTTTTATTTTCACTCCTAGACTAACCTTGCAGGGGCACACTGATGTCATCATGCATAATACACAGTCCATAGCTCTGTATTATATGTAAGTACGCCGAGGGACAGAGCATAGGGAAGACAAGGCGAGCACTGAGTGCTAGGGGAGCAGGGATCAGGTAAGGAAGAGTCCTCTTCAGAATACTTTTAGATTTGAAGGAGCAGGTAACCCTTGCAGTGTAGGGTAGCTCTACTGCAAAGGTTAAGAATCTTCTATACGTTTACCAAAGCTATATAATATGGAAACAAAAGATTGTAAGCCCTCACTGGCAGGGCCCTCCTTACAATCTTGTCTTGATTTGTATTGTGATTGCAATGTCTTCCCTATATTGTAAAGCGCTGCACAAACTGTTGGCGCTATATAAATCTTGTATAATAATAATAATAAACAACCCATTCAATTTGTATCCAATCAGACTGGCCCTTCAACTACTCAGCTGATGGTAGATCTAAAGGAGCTTGTATAATCACATTGTATAGTGCATGGCCAACTGTGGTTAGCAATCATTTCATCATTGTCATTAGACCATTTGATCAGCATAAATATAAAAGGAGGAGAGCCTAAAGCTGGCCATACACCTTACAATTATCTGCAGATTTTCTATGGTCAGATGGAAAAGGTGCAACAGATTCCTCCATCTTCACTTAACTCTCCACCTGGGCCAATCTGTTGCACTTTTTCCATCTGACCACAGAAAATTTGCAGATAATTGTAAGGTGTCTGGGCACCTTCAGAATGATTGATTGTGTCCAGAATAAGTTTTATTTAGAAAGCAAAACAGTATGTTATGGAGGTTCTAAGGGGCCCCTCCATTGGGGCATGGAAATGCTGGATGCAGCATGATCTGGATGTTATAGATGAGTTTTCCCATGGGATCCGTTTTTTCAGGTTAGTCTAAAACGCCCATTATGTTTGCTCCAGTTGCTTGTTCGACAACAGCTCCACATAGCATTTTGAAGTTCAGATGAAAGGAGCACCTTAGAACTCCTCAGACGTGTTGGCTTCTTGCTAAGCACATTTTCAAGGGGAAAAAAACCCTCCCTGTGCAGTGGGACTACCCCACACTGCGAGGGTAAAGTCTAGGGTATTCTGTAATGGACTTTATCTTACCTGATCCCCACTCCCCCGGCAGTCAGCGCTCACTACACATACGCAATTTGTTTCGTTCCATGCTGTTTCGTTCTGAATTGAAATTCGCAAGAATTTCTGTAAATTAGTAATTTCCGAATTACAGAAATAACGAATCTGAAGGAATCCAAATGTCTGATGGAAGGAATCCAAATGTCAACGAAATTCGGATACATACAAAGTTCATTTGGAAACGAAACACAACAAGCGGGAGATCTGTCATTTACAGCTCTCTGGCTTCTTTGCATTTGTATCTCAAATAAAAACAAAGTAAAACAATATTGTAACAATATCTAAATGATGAAAGAAGCTGAGAGATCTGTGTTCCCTTTTAGGTCTGGTAGGAATTGCCGCGAAACTGCATGCTGTTTTCTTTTTCCCCATAACATTCCTACCAGACCTAAATGGTTTGGTATGAATTGGGTGGGGACCCCACACTTTTTTTGGTTTGTGGGGTTGGAAATTAAAAAGCAACGGATTTTAGTTCGTAATGATCATTTAACTCATCCGAAATTCATACGAATCCAAATGCCCAAACAAATTGACTTTCAGACCCATAAAACGAAATAAGGAGACCTCCGAAACAACACAAAACTAAACACATTTTTTGCCGGCTTACATGTCTAGCGCTCACCTCTCTACCCTCTGCTCTGGGTTGTTGGCTGTCCTTCGGCATCCCTGGCATATGATGCACAGCTATGGGCTCTGCATAAGCATGATGTCATCAGTGGGGAGCAGGGGGAAAGGGGCTGCAGGCATTACTATTGTGGCCTCCAGGAGTGGGGATAAGGTAAGTAAAAGTCCTTAACCCAGGTCCCCCTAGACATTAACGAGCAGTTAACCCTTGCAAAAATCAATTGATGGAAAAACCTGGTCATTCAGTATATTGAGGTTGGCAGCTGACCTCATTTTTGGGGGGACATTACATTGCTGATCCTAGACCTGACCAAGTGAAGCAACCCCAGATTATAACACTGCCTGAAATCCAGGTGGTGACCTTTTTTTGGCCAGGTAGTGTATATTCACTAATAGCTGATAATTATTAGTAAGACTTGTTTTGTTGTAGTAGAAGCACCCACTACTCAGGGCTGTGGCATACTGGCGCTTTGAAATAAAAAAGATGTCTCTCCTCAGGTCTATTATTCCTATTGTCACTGTCCTAGCTATGAGCCATATGAAGGAGATACTCTATTCTTAAAAAGGACAGTCTGCAATCAGCTGAGAACTGTACAGCTGTGAAAATAGGTCAATTCTGGTTTTCCATGTACTAGTGCAGTGGTGGGCAAACCAGGCCCCCCCAGCTGCCCTTTAACTACAAAATCTCAACATGCCTCTGCCCCTGGGAGTTATGCCTGTAACTGTCAGTCTTGCATTGCCTCATGGAACGTGTAGCTGGAGAGCTGGTGTTGCCCACCCCTGTACTAATAACATCAAGTCTACAAACCCAAAGATAGCAAGAGATGGCAGCAATGGCAGTCAAGGACCAGTCTGCGGGCACAATCATCTCCATGTGTTCCTGGAAGTCTGAGGATTTACCAAACAGCAGATTATTAACATTTATCTAAAGCCAAAGCTTAGAGTCGGGAAAGGTTAGGCGTCTGTCTGATCGGGGAGACTTCCCTTCACTTCCTGACCCATAGACACAACTAGTGGAGCAATCCTCTCTTAGTTGTCAGGCAATGTGTCCCCCCAAACTCACAGTTTAGATTTTTCCTCACTTTCATTCCTGGTGACAATGGTCATGTTCATGAAAGCTTTCACACATGCAAACATTGAAAGCTTTTATTTCCAATAAGAGTAGATTCAATAATAAATATAAGAGATCAAAGCAGAACTGCAGCCAAAAATAACAAGATGAAGATGAAAAGCCCATTAAAAGATTTTGTCCCAATATTCACTTCCAATAGAGAGCTCGCCCCCACAGTACCTCTTTTCTGCCACTAGATGTCCTCAGTGTGATGGCTAGCATCATTCAACCCGCTTCCTCTGAGCTCAGGTCATCCTGGAACTGCCCCAGCTTGTGACTGGACAGTGAGGGAGAAACAGTGCAGAAGAGCTCATCTCTTGCTGTCTCCTCCGATCAGCATGCTACTTGTTAACACAGGACCTGACTTGCTCCTCGTGCTGCTTCTTTCACCGCACGTTGCTGTACAGGGACAGCAAGAGGCTGATACCAGGTCAAATTCAGGTACATAGAATGCTTGTATTTAATAAAATGAAATCTATTATGTATTCATGATTACAGAGCTGTATTAATTTGTGCCTCTTATATCTGCCTGGAGTTCAGCTTTAAATCTGTCATGTCATGTAATTGTGTTTGTTCTCCTGACAAAACGCCAGCCAGTAATAGCCCTTCACAAAGTTACATATGCCCAGAGTGGGATCGCAGCTGGAAACTCTTTTCATCCAACAGAGATGACACAAGTAATTTATTATCCTGTGTTTTCTAATAAAATCCATTATAACAACAATGTATTTCTTTTGCAGCCGTCCAGTTTCCCATACAAGGAAGAGATTCTGTCTGTGAATCCCACATGTCTTGTTGTGATCATTCTATTCTTCATCAGTATCATTCTGGCTTTTAAGGTAAGTGCTGGGATGGCAAGGCTTTGTCTCCAAGATGAGAAAATGGGGCTTTTATAATGCTGGAGGAATTTATTTTAATTTTACTGGGACAAGGCCATCTATCAGTATAAAGAACATCTTTCATGTAAAATTCCGCTCTTAAATCAATGGGCTAAATGCAGTATGAAAGTTGAAGGAATAGATTCAAAGTTTTTTTCTGTTTTTCCGTCCT